GTGTGTGTGTGTGTGTGTGTGTGTGTGTGTGTGTGTGTGTGTGTGTGTGTAAGAGAGAAAATGTTTATGGTTGTGTCCAGGAGTCCCTGTCTTACCTACCTCATCCCACAGCCTAGAGAGTGCCCCTGCAGTCTCAGAGCGCGCCTCCTGTCCAGTTCTGCCTTTTATCCCACCCAAGTCTTCCCCGCGCTGGGCCCACCTGGCCGGGAAAGTGGGAGGGACGAGGGGCGAAGTCAGCTGTTTGCTCAGCTAACCTCCTGGCGGGGGCTGGGGCGGCTGAAGCCAGGGTTGTAGGGATGGAGAACTTCCTGCCTCCTTCCCAATCCCTCAGGGAAAAGGCTGGGTCTTAGGTGGCAGAAAACGGAGGAGAAAGAGCTCGAGCACGGGATCTGGAGGACAGGCAACATTATGCTGGGAACAGAACAAAAACTGCTGCAAACATAATTGCTGTTTATTAGCCGCCTTAATTAAAACAGATTTGCATTTCTATGAGTAGCTCTCAGCCAAGGGAGGGGGCGAGGTTCTGGGAGACACTCAGGTGACTGCTATGGAGTTTAGGACGCCTAACAGCCTGGAGCTGGGTGCGGCAGACGCGGGGGACCCTTCCGGGAGGGGCTTCCACCCCGGGGTGGCTCCGAGCCTGGGCTGAGCCAAGTATCTCTCTTACATATTTGTGCTCCAAGAAGCCTTTGGCCAAAAGGCAGGAGGGTTTGATGTTTGAGGAACGTGGATGGCACTTGGCTTTGCTGCCCACTGAAAGTGATGATACCATAAAATGTTTTCCCCTTCACTTCCCAGGAACTAGGAATTCTCTGGAGGCTGGGCGGGGGTTCGGGGGGTGGGCTGTGGTTCTCAGGGCATTCTAAAAGCCATCAGGCAAATGCGTAAGTGTTTAAGGGCTTCTTAGAAGAAAAAAGAAATCAGAGTACAGGTGGGGATGGGCAGTCAAAGTGGCGGGAGGGTGTTTATCTCCCCCTCCCTGCAGATCCCTGGTTTGAGCCAAACCGGGTAAGACCCACGCCAGTTTACTCCCCAGAAGGCAATGCAGCAGTCGCCCACCAGCTGCGGTGTGCTGTGAGAAGAACCCCATCTCACTTTGGATACTTTCATAATGTCTGCTCCCTTCAGCCCAGCCGAGGCCCTTTTCCAAAGGGCTTCGCCATCCCTCCACCTGTTCTCTAGCTCTTTCCTCTCCCACGTTGGCTCTTCCCTCCCCAACCAGGGCCACTTAATTCATCCCGCTGCATCCGGGCGAGATGACCCTGGTTCAGCAGAAACAAATGAACAGCTTCCTGGCCTCACTCCGATCTCTTGGGTGTTTCTCTTCCTGGCGATCTAGGGGACCCTGTGCTGGAAAGATTGGAGGCGGGAAGGGGATATAAACGCAATCCCTGGGCGGGGGTTCAGATCAAACCCTGCATAGTCGCCAGGGCCAGGCTGGGGTGTCCCTTCCAAGAAATGTCCTCCCTGAGGTGTGCGTGCATAACCTCCTCAAGAAACCACTTTGAATCCCTGCTGGGAAATGCCGGAACATCTAAAGTGACAATGGAATGTCAGTCCTCCTTTGTCCGTCTTGTTTTCCCCAGAAATGGGGATGTTCCTTTAAAAGCTTCAGGCCTGGGGACCCAGCCCGCTGGTCTGGTCCCGGGGCCAGCAGATGGGAGCTGGGCACAGTCATGGGCCAGCACCCAGAGCGGGTGTCGGGGGAGGCCACAGCTTTCATGGGTCCCGGTGCCTGAGCCCAGTGTCAGACACCGGAGCAGCAGGAAAAGGCCGCAGCCTGCGTTGCCATGGATATACGGAGGCGCGATCGGATGCTGTTATTTTTAGCCCCGCAGTGCCAATTTATTGGTGGCATCCTGGGGACACGGGGGAGGCAGGAAGACTCCTGAGTCAGGGTTCTGCCCAGGACAGGTGGCCTGTGAGTGCCCCCGGGCTCTGAGTAGATTCGCCCTTCCTCTGGGGTTGCCAGGACTCTGGGGGAGAAGGAGAGGAAAAGGAAGCAGACAGAGCAGTGAGGGGTGGGGGATGCTGGCTAATGGGGCACCCGGAGGGGGATGGCTGAGGAAGAACCAAGCTGGTTTTAGTTTTCTAGCAGAGGGGGAGAATGGGCGAGGCTGCCTGTGGACAGCTTGGGCGGAGATGAAGCCAGGAGCGCTGATTTCTAGAACATGGCTCAGCCCCTCCCTGGCACCTTGATCTGGGGCCAGGACCCAGGGGTCCTGCAAAGGTGGGTCTGGGGCTTGGGTTCCGCTGCGGCTCAGAGCCTCCAGGCTTTGACCTGAGGCAGACTCTGTGGGACCAGGGGGCTCACAAAGGAATGCGAAAACCCAGTGGAGGGAGGAAGTTTGGAAACAGTGGAGGGGCTTGGCGTTAGCTTTTCTCGCTCTTCTCAACCTGCAGCTTTGGTTGCCCATCCCAGCGGGAGCCCATACCATGGACACGACGCCAGATTTCCATCGAGGTGCTGCAGCCTTCCCCGGTCGGACCCAGCTTCTCTGGGACCTTCTACAGGGCATCATCCAGGCCGGTCTGACACTCTGTCCCCTAAACGTGTCATCTAGCAGTCATCTGCGTTCTGGGGCCGTCAGAAAACTCTCTCCTGCTGTAATGGTTTTATGGTGTGTGATAAGAATCTGCCCTCAGGAGGACCCCCTGAATGCTTGGTCCTGTGGAAATTGTGACAGGTCTCTCTGACTGAGCAGCAGTCACGCAATGGGAAGGGGCTAACTCAGACTCGCAGAGATGCTCCCTTAAATTCCCTCCAAGGCCTAGGTCAAATTCAGAGGGTAGATGCGTTATCTGAGTCGGCTGTGGAGTGATCCTCTGACGCCCTCCTCTTGGCCAGGATAAAATTAATTAGCTACCACTTTTAAGCACTTCCAAGCACCAAAGAAGGAGGAAGGGGACCCAACTAGCCAGGTCCTTCCTCACCTCAGGGCTGGGCTTTGACATGGACTCGAAGAGGTGGGCAGAAGTGCTACGGATCCAGAACCAGCGACAGTCCCTCTGAGGCAGTGCCTAGGACCAAGACGCCTTGGGCCCCTCTCTGCTCCCTCTCACCCCACTTAGCATGAGTCGGGGGGTCTTACCATTGACCGTCAGGGTCACCTCTCGCTCCCCGGCCCCGACCCGGGGCACCACGGCTCGGCACACGTACTTCCCAGCATCCTCCTGGCGGACGGTTTTGAGGGTCAGGGTCTTTTCATTGCTCAGCACCTGGGAGAATTGTGGAGGGTCAGACACAGAGCAGAGCCGGGCTCTGTCGCCCAGAGCCAGAAGGGCTGCAAGGCGGGCCTGCTGTAAGTGACCCGGTCTTCAGCATGGCAGGAAGGTGCGGGGGTGGGGTGGGAGGCTGTGAGTCCCGTGAGCTGGCCAGGGGAGAGTCACAGCCATACACCAGCTCGAAGCCCTAAGGGCCGGGAACAAGGGCAGATGGGAGGGTACACCCCTGGCTGGGGCCCGAAGGCTTTGTCTCGCAGACAGGGCTGCCCACCAACCTGAACCAGGCTGCCCCCACCGATCTTGTTTGCGGGTGCCTGGACCTGTTTTTTCAGAGTCACTTTCAGTATCCTTTTGGGATAGAGTTTGGGGGTGATCCAAAGACTTTGGCCTTAGCTGGCTCTGAGTTCGAATCCTGCCTTGGGCCATGATGACCTACGTGGCCTGGGGCAGTTACTTATCTGCTCTGATGTTCTTTCTTTATTTCTACGGCAAGGCAGCTCTGCTCACAGGACAGAGCGGTGTCTGGCCCATAGCAGGCCACACAGAGACCAGTTTCTGTCCGCCTCTCCCTTGACTTCCCTCCCAAAGCTCTCACTGGTCCTCCTGAGGGGAGGGGTGTCTGATAAACTTATACACCCTAAAAAACACATTTATCTTAAAATAGGAACACAGGAAGACCGTGAAACTTAGCTCAAAAGCTAAAGGATAACTATTTGGGGAAAGTGGAAAAGGCTTTCTAGAGACTTTTTACTCCCGGCACATCTGTGACTATCTGCTTCTCCTCTAAGGTTTATGGTAGGGCGAAACTGTAATGGTTGAGTGTGTTTAGTACTGAAGGGGTACCTGTGAGTATCTGGGGTTCCCTCTCTTCTTTCTAGGCTCCTTCTCCCTTCAGCTTACACTGGAGATTAGTGCCTCCAGTCGAAGAGTGAGGGGGGCCCCCCATGAGGCAGTTCCGGTGGTCCAAGGCCCCTGTGGGGTCTGAGCTGAGGACTTACCACACCTGAGCCCCGCTTCATCCAGACGATGGTCAGGGAGGGGTTGCCTGTCCAGGCACAGCTGAAGACGGCATCGGAGCCCAGATCCACGAGCAGGGATTGAGGCTCTGTAGTCATCCTGGGCCCAACTGTGAAGGGAGGAAGGGGGAGACAGGGCTCTTGGTGGGCTGGGAGCTCTGGAAGAGGGGTCTGAGAGAAAGAGTCCGGGAAGTAAGGAAGAGAGACCCCCAGCTTCCCAGCTTGGCCTTCCGCAGGTCCACCCGCTGGCAGCAACAGCCCTAGGAAAGAGTGCTCTGGCCCCATTTCTGCTGGGATTTGCCCCCATCTCCCATCCTTTGTCCTGCTTCCAGGAAGCTCCCACCCCAGCCCTCAGGCAGAAGGGACTCCCTCCTGCTCCAGAAATCCTGGGTGGTGGCAGCTTTCTGTGTCTGCCTTTCGGTCCTTGTCTACCTCCTCCGAGCTTCAGCTTGGGGATCTGGATTCCAGTTACCCTGTGCGTCCGGAGCCCAGCTCCTGGAGCCCGTGCAGGCTCCTCCCAGGGGCTCTGAGACAAGGCCTGGAGGAAGCCATGCCTCTCCCCCTGTTCTCCACACCCTTGGAGCCCGCAGGTCATGCTCTGTTCTAGCCCTTTCCAGCCTTTTTCCAACCCCCGTGAAGTAGCTGGGCCTGACCCCAGGCCGCTGCTAAGTGTCGGTGAGTGTTAGCGGAAGCTTCTCTCCGCCTCCCCCCTGCACACCACCTGGAACCAGAGCCTCCAGGGGACCAAACCTTGGTCCCCAGAGTGGGTGCAGTGGTGGAACTACAGGCGCAGTGACGGGACGGTGTGCAGAGAACTGCTTGGCTGCTTTCCAGGAGCCGAAGACTGTGAAAACCAGGGTCCGGAGACCCGGATTAGTCCCTTGAAAAGGGAATAAGGGCACTTTTCTGTTGGGGCCCCTGGGGGTAAGGGGAGGGGTCAGATATAAGAAAGTTTGTAAAAGTGCTTTTCAAACTGTAAATCCAGTAGAGGAGCTCATGCTTATCACCGTGAAATCATCCAACCCGTGGGTCAGTGCTGGGCTGGCTCCCCAGGGCTCCCCACTAGGCGCCAGAAGGGAGGCGTACCCGGGTCCCCAACGGGAGGCGGCGGGGCCTGCTGTCGGCAAGGGGATTCTCTGGAGCCTGGCTTGGTTCTCCCTCTGCCACTTACTTGCCGAGTGACCTTGGGCCTCCGACCCCGCATCTGAGGAATGGGAATAATAACCCCTGCCTCCCTGGGTTCCTACGAGTGTCGAGGGTGGAGGGAAGCCGGAAACAACCCACTAAGAAGCTTTGCTTAAAGTGGGCAGCACTGTGAGCTTGCGCCCCAGCAGAGACACCCCAGAGACACCCCGGGGGGCGGCTCGCCTGGGGATGCCCCGCCCCGCCCCCCGCGGCCGCACTCACAGTAGACGTCCACCGTGCGGCTGATGTTGGTGCTGCCCAGGGCGTTGGTCACCTCGCAGGAGACAGGCTCTGAGAAGTACGTGTAGTCCACGGCGGTCCGATAGACTTCTCCAGATGCTTCCTTAATGATCTGGCCCCGCTTGGCCCACCTGCAACACAGGCCCCGGGAGCCACTGTGGACCTCCGATGGCAAGGGTGTTTCTCCCACCCGGCGGGGGGGGGGTGTCTCTCCAGGAGCTGGAAAGCGGGACGTGGCATGGGGGTGGCACAGGGCTAGCCCCCCCCCCCGCACCCCCTCACGCCCCCCACCCCTCCTCAGTGCAGGGGCGGGGAGGGGGCGGGCAGGAATCTCTGCGGAGGAGTAACTTCCGGGGCTGGGGGAGGAGTCGGTGTTGGAGGTGGTGGGCTTTGGTCTGCGGGTGACAAGCAGGTTATTCTGGAGATGGGGGAGTGGACTAATCAGTAGCTTGACCCATCTGACTGGCTAGGACAGGAATAAGCTACTGACAGTCCCTGTCCACTGGGATCGCCGCTGGAAAAGAAGGAGGTCAGGACTAGCGGCATGAGCACGTACGTGCGTACACACAGACGGACTTCATTTCCAGACAAGGTGGACAGCTGTGCGACGGGTGTTAGCTAGGGGTCCTGAGGGTCCCTCCTCCAGCTCTCGAAGCTCTCCTGTCCTGACTCCTGTCCCCAGGGTGGGTCCCTTCCCAGTGCCCCCTCTTCCCTCCCAGGGATGGCTCTTGCTCTTTTTCCTGCCCAGCTTCTAGCTTCCCACCCTGGCTTCACTCCTCAGAGGCTTTCGGTGCCATCCGTCCTGGTCTGGTCAGAGGGGCGGGAAGGGGGCTGTGCTGACGTCTTTCATCCGCCCATCGGTACCACTGGAGGCAAGAGATGGAAAAGCCCCAGGGGATGCTTTGGTCCTGGCCCTGGGACGGTGATCACTGCAGTGGACCCGTGCTTGTCGGGGTAGCATGCTATCAGCAAGGCTGTGCTAGGAGCTCCCAGGGGCACACGTGTGTGTGTACATGTGTGTGTGCGCATGCACGTGTGAGGCTGGGGCCTTTCCCTACAGATCCCTGGGGAGAGAGTTCATAGCTTCCCCTGGCTTAACCCCGTTGTGGACAACACTTGCTTTTGAAATCACAGAACTTCCAACCAGGCTCCTCCTCTTCAAATCTATTTCGGGGCGTTTATCTTATTTTTACCCCATAACCACAAATCCCTGTAACTACAGCTTCTCTGCGGCCCCTGCCTTCACCTCCCCTTTCTCTCTGTCCTGTAGCCAGAGGACTGTCTCCTGCCTTCCCTCCCGGCCCGCCCCAAGAGATGGCCATGTCTTGGCATCATGTGGAGTGCCCAGGCTGGCATCGTGTGGTTACGATCGTAAGTTAATATCACATAATTATTAAGAACATGATTAATAATAACAATTATAGTTTAACAACAGAGCAAACCAGAGCTCCCTGAGAGCTTAAGGAGCTTCCCAACAAACCATTATGAGTTATTCATGAATCATTTCAATTTCTAACTTTAATTTAATGACCAGACTTAACAGTCAGGCACAACCCCTGCCTGAGGCAGAGAATTCAGTCCCAGACACAGTTGGGGACCTGCGTCCAACCTCTGCGCCCTCTGCCCCGCTGAATGAAGCATGGGGGCAGGGGGTGGGAGGCTGAGGGGGGCTGCGGAAGACAGGGTGAGCCCCTCCTGCTCTCCTGGGCCTGCTCCTGGCTCAGGGTAGGGAGGTTAGGGCCCAGGAGGGCTGGTTCTGATGGGCTGTCCTCGTCTGTCCTTGGAGGAGTTCTTGGAGAAGACGGGGCCCTTCATGGTGAAAGTCACTGGGGGGTGTGAGTTCCACTTTTTCAGCCCCAAGGAGCTCAGAAGTGCTGGGGCTCCCACAGGCCTGGAGCCCAGCCAGACAGTTGGGGAACAAGCAGGGCTGTGCTGTCCCAGCCTGGGCTCCTGTGCAGCGGCTGCCCTTAGCCCCCCAGGACCTGTCCCTTCCTTAGAGGCTGAACAGGAGAAATTCCTAGCCTCTCCTCTCCCAGGGTCACAGGCAGGAGCCGCTTGCGGGGGTTGGGCCCTCTAGTAACCCAAACCAAAGTTTTTTGGGGGCGTCCCGAGTCCCCGAAGTACTGAATCCCTGAGTCCTGCTCAGTCTGTCTTTTCCCTCGCTTTCTTTATGTTCCTCTCCCACACCAATAAAACCCTCTATAGGGATCCCTTCCAGAAGCTCAAACCACCCCTTCCAGCAGCTGGCCACAGCGTCCAGGGTGACCCGAGAGCAAAACCAGGTCTCTCAGTCCTTCCCTCTCCTCCCTCTCCTTTGGCTTACCTTCCACCTCCTCCTCCTTCCAGTTGGACCCTCCCCCCGCCCCCCGCCCCTGCCTCCACTCTTGCTCCCACCCCACCACCCCCAGCCCCTCTGAAAAGGAGTCAGATTAAGCTTTTCCCAATCAATGTCTAATTTGGCCGGAGCAAATGTAAGGGGATTAATTATTTATAACACAGAATCAGGAGGCCTGGCTGCTACAGCTGACAGGCTGTCCTTACATAGTCCCGAGTTTCACACTGGGCGGTGGTCCCTGCCCTGGGTCCCGCAGGGGGACATGGGGGGTCCCGGAGAGCCTCAGAGGACAGTCCCGAGAAGCAGGTGGGGAAACCCGTTTCCTGGTGTGCCAGGACCCGGTCTGCCGGCCTCCGGCTCCTGGGTCTGGGGGGCAGCTGAAGTGAGAGCCGAGTCCGTCGCCCCTGCTCCCACACCCACCCATGTCCCCTTCCCAGGTGCTGGGATGGAGGAGGCATAGCTCTGATTTCTGAGATCACAGCCTCGGAGCAGCACAGGAAGAAGCAGTCAGGATGAATGTGCAAGTAAAGAAACACAGATCCCTGCAATCTTGTCAAAGTCAGTTGGGAAAAATCAATGTACTTATGTGAGGAGATTTGTTTAAGGCTTTTCTTCTCGGAGGCCAACACGGTGTCCAGAATCACCATCCGCCTGCAGGCTGAGCCCTGCCTCGAGGGGCTAGGCCAGTGTGGGTGGGCACGGGGGGCCCTCCTCTCTCTCCGCTCTCCCAAATTTTCCTAATGGCCAAAAGGCCTTCTTCAAAGTCTCTGGGGTCCTGAAGGGAATGTGGTCCACATTGATGTGTTTTCAGGCCCTTCTGCTAATCAGAGGGCCATGAGGGCAGGTGACACGTCCCAAGAGTGAGCCTGTGCGGGAAGGCCTGCCCCTTCGGACACCTCTGTCACCGGTGGTCCCTCTGTAACCAGGGGCTGACCCGGGATCCTGGGGGCCTACAGGGTAGGGTGAAGGCAGAGGGAAACCTGCAAGCTCTATGCTTGTTTATTTGTTAACTTTTCAGTTTATTTTTATTATTTTTTTCAAAGATTTTATTTATTTATTGGACAGACAGAGATCACAAGTAGGCAGAGAGGCAGGCAGAGAGAGAGGGGGAAGAAGACTCCCTGCTGAGCAGGGAGCCCCATGCGGGACTCGATCCCAGGACCCTGGGATCATGACCTGAGTCGAAGGCAGAGGCTTTAACCCACTGAGCCACCCAGGGGCCCCTATTAACTTTTTAGTTAAAAAAAACAAAACAAAAAAAACCCAACACAAAACCCCACTTTGAAATTAGAGAAACATGGCAAGAATAGGCCAATTAATTGTCACGTTCCCTTCACCTAGATTCATTAGTTCTTAAATGTATTGTCACATTTCTTTTTTTTTTTTTTTAAGATTCCATTTTATTTATTTGAGAGAAAGAGAGAGCTAGGGAGTGAGCATGAGTCGGTGGGAGGGGGAGAGGGAGAGGAAGAAGCAGACTCCCTGCTGAGCAGGGATCCTGATGTGGGGCTCGATCCCAGGACTCCAGGATAATGACCTGAGCCACCCAGGTGCCCCTACTGTCACATTTCTTTATGATGGTCCCTCCAGAAGGAGATATGAACTTCATCATTTATCACTGGTGCTCTGCTTCTAGAGGGGTGGGGGGTGACTCTAAGAGGCAGGCAAGCAGCCTGGCTGCTGGGGTGTTGGCTCACACTGTCCTGGTCAGAGGGCAGGGGAGGGGTGGGGGACAGTGCCGGGTCCCCGATCATGGCCCTGCCCGCTGCCCAGCCCTCCCATAACTGTGTCCTCAGACCACCCGGAGCCTGGCAGTGAAGAGCCATGGAAGTTGTATGTTCTGGTCTCTGGGGTCCCACAGGCATTCCTGGGACAGCTGCGAGGGCACCTGTGGGAGTCCGGGCCTGCCCAGGGAAACGAGCATTTGAGGTCTCTGGGCACGTGAGACCTAGCGTTTAGGGACTGTAAGCGGACCACACGAGTGACAGCAGAGAGGGGCCGACCCTGTCACCGCAGGTGTCCTGAGAAAGCCCGGAAAAAGGGCCTCTCTCAGGCTGTCTGTTCTGCATCTTCAGTCACTTCCAGACAGATGCCAGATCTCAGCCAAACCAAACCCGCCCCCCGGACCTGCAGGGCCCCAGGGCCATGTTTCTGCAACGCACTTTGCCCTGCCTTGGGCCCAGAGAATGGTCACACGGGACACGACAGATGGCTTTTCATCCTATTTTAAAATGTCCTCAAGGAGAAAGATTCCACGCCTTTCCTGGGTTTTGGTTCCAGTGTCCCGGTGTCGTTCAATTATCTGCACTGCGGGGAGCTCCTCCTTGCGTCCAACCCGAGTCTCTCTCTGGCTGTCTCCTTGGCCCATTTCCTCTCACTGAGCCCTCTGGGCTGTGCTGCCTCTTGTCGTCCCTGTCCTCCACTCCCACTGGCCAGTTGATGATCTAGTCTGGGGCCATTAGCATCCCTGGCACCGGCCGCTTCAGCTTAATAACCCATCTCAATGGCGGAGATGACGCTCTGGGCTCCACCATCAAGTCTGGGCTGGTGGGGAAGGACAGCTCCGAGTTAGGGCCATGGCGAGTTCCCCAGGGCATCTAAAGGAGGTGAGTGTCCTTGTCTACCCTTGAGCATCTCCGAGGGCACTGCATCTCTTGAAATCCCGTCCTGCAGGGGTGCCCAGGCAGGGAGGTGCCCCGGGGAGCCAGCCTGCGTTATAAGGTTCCCGCTGCCCGTCCCATGCTCTGCCCCATGCTGCGGGCCCTAAGTTGCTAAATTGCAGTTCTTGCCTTCAAGGAGCTCAGTCAACAGGGAAAGAAGCGGGTAAACCACGGTGGTGCTTTTATCAGTGTTGTGAGCAGGGATGCATGGGGGCTCCGGATGGACATGATCCGAGGTGCCTGCTGGACAGGGCCCTCTGTCTCCGAAATCTTACCCTGCACAGGTGAGCAGTTTGGTGAGCCCATGGCGTGGATCTAGGCTCTGATCTTACTGCGTCTCCTGGTTGTTTTACCTTTTTCCTCACCCAGAGCCTCTCTGCCATTTTTCAGAAAGAAGGGATAACAGCGCTCTCCAAACAGAAGGGGTTATGCCCGCTGCTTCCGGTGGAGGGGTGTTTGCATGTACAAGAAGGAAAGGGAACTTCTCCCTGGCCAGGGATGGATGGATGGGTGTGTGGGGAAGGGAGAAGGATCCTGGGCTCCCCCAGTGACCCAGCCCGTGCGTTGCGCACCCAAGGCCACGAATGATAGCCTGTGTGATGGGCACGGGTGTGGAGGGGTCCAGGGGCCAGGTGGTGCCCTGTAAGAATCAGCAGGATTCTTACCTGTACTGGGTGACAGCCGGGTTGGCCTTTGCGGAGCAGTGGAACGTGACAACGTTGTCCTCCAGCACTGGCTGTGGTTCCACCGACAGGTTGACGAGTGGGGGGTCTGCAGAGAGAAGAGATTCCTTTGCAAACTGGGGTGCTGTGCCCATGGTTTTGGGGCAAGGAGATCCCCTGGGTGACAGGGAAGGTAAAGGCCAGAGATTCTACCAGGAGGGGCCCTGAGAGCAGCCACCACCCTGGTCGTCCCCCAAAAGTTGGGGGTCTCAGCAGGGGTCTCCCTTACTCCCTGGGGGTGCCTGCTTCAGCTGCCCTGGTGCGGGGTCAGGGATTCCTCATGTGGATTCAAGGTCTGGTGTTTAAATGAACAACCAGATAGGAGGCGTGACTTCCTGGGTCCTCAGACACATGCTGCCCATCTTCCAGCCTTTAGTGAGAACAAAACACTTGACAAGAGAGGTGGGAAAAGAGGGTTCAGGGGGCACAAGGGGGAGCGTGGACACTAAGCCCCATTTAAATACACTTTTTTTTTGTCTTTGAAATGTCTGTTTCATATCTGTTTGTGTAAAGGTTCTGGTGCGTCTGTTAACTTGAAAGTGGCATTTACACCCTTTCATCAGCCTGATCATCTCTGCTGGGCCCCGACTGGTGTCACCCAGCCCTCAGCTCCCAAGGCTGGGCAAGTCTTTCTCCTGCAACAAGATGAGAAGGCAGGCTCTGAAGTGCAAAACGGTGGGAGGTGGAGGAGACAGGAAGAGAGGGAGGGAGGGAGAGAGGCAAGTAGGAGGGAAAGGAGAGGGAGAGGGAAGAGAGGAGGGAGAAGTGGAGGGGAAGGAGAGGGGAACTGGAAACAGACATAGAGACAGAAGGGGGGGAGGCAGGCAGACAACACCTTTATAGAAGAGAGACAGGGAGAGAGACATGGACAGAGACAGAGAGAGATTGAGAAATGCAGAGGAATAAGAAAAAGAGAGAAGCAGAGAGCAGGGAGCTGGAGAGAGACACACAGAGAGATGGATATGTGCACAGAAACATAGAAGCAGACAGAGATTTCAGACTAAAAGCAAAAAGACTGGAGGAGACCAAGCAGACAGACAGAACGTGAGACGGGGCGTTGGGGAGAGAGACCACCCAGTATCAAGGATTAGAGAACAGAGGCAGGAGAGAGAGATGCAGAGAGATAGGAAGGTGGAAAGGAGACCAGCACCTGCTCTTCGTCTTCATTATGGTGTATAGGGCCGGCTGGGGTACAAGCCTGAGCTGAGTAAGGAGGCAGTGTGGTCCCTGCCACTCAGGCAGGGTCCTGGGCCACATCTTCGGGCCAGTCCTCACCCGAGATCACGCAAACTGTGGGAAGATACGTGGACTTTCTAGGGGTTCCTTCTAGCCCATTTTCAGCAGCAGCAGAAGCCAGTTTCTCAGAGACCACGGAGAAACATGCTGACCCCTCTTGGGCACCTGCGAAGGGCCCCACGAGGGGAGCAGGACTCCTGCTGTTCCAGCCTGAGCATCTGTTTGAAACCACAGGTGGGCTTCTGAGACCCTAAAGTCTTAGGCACAGGCTCCCGGCTACGAACCGAGGCCAGCACACCCCGGCGTTGGGATACCTGGACCACTCAGGCCCTCTTTGTCCTGCTGGTGCTCAAGCTGGGTCTTGCCTCCTTGCACAGTGCCTGGGTCCAGCGGCGGGGGCCAGGGAGTTGGCCCACAAGGTTGCACCTGTATCCGCAGGGAACTTGAAAGACATGGGGGAGAGAACTCTGGTTCCTGAGCAGGGTGGTGGACTATTCTGGGGACCCCGATCTCCCTGCGTGAGATCCGGATGCGGACCACGGTCCTGGGAGCTCCTGTTACGGCAGCCGTGGAGAATTTCATGGAGAACTACAAGGGAGGTGACAGGGATTTCAATGATCTCAATCTTTGTTTTTAAAGTGTAATTCAAGGAGGGAGGCACGTGGCAAGGACCAGCCATGAGAGCTCTCCTCCTCCCACCCCGTGGAGAGCTAAGACCCCCAGAACCTTGTAGCTTCTCCCTAGCTGCTGCCCATCGGCTGCTCCCCCGCCCCCCGCAACCCCAAGCTGAGGGCCCCCAGCTTCCAGGGCCCTCATCAGTGGTCTCTGCTCTCTTTCTCTGCAGGGTCAGCTGCCTCAACTAGGCATCCGAGGGCCCCCTCTGGCTCCGATGGCCCCAACCCTAGAGATGTGGAGACCCACGGAGGAGTGTGCATCTCGCTGCATGTTGGAGAAACTTGTCCTAAGGCACAGGAATTTGGTGATGGCCATCTAAAGCCAAATGCATGGCTGGCTCATGGCCTCGCATTGTGAAATTCAGTACTGAGAGGCAGAACAGAGTCCCTCAATCCAACTCTTGTTGGAGGAAGTCATGGCACCAGTTGGACAGAACGTAGAATCTACCTGGCATAGAACTTGGGGGGTAGCTCCAGGAGAACCCTCCCCACCCGGATATCCTTTATAGAGTGAGGAGTCTTGGGGAGCAGGGTGATGGAGTATACACCTGTTAGGGTCCCTTCCTGCCACCCGCCATTCTGACTTTATCCCGTGCATGCCCTTCTCTGGCAGCTTCTTTACCTGGGCTAAATCCTTAGTACCCCAGCTTTCTTGAAGGGCCCCAAGAGAATGGGTCCCCAGGAGGCTGGTGCACCTGCCAGTCTCATCTACACCTCCCCCCCGAACCCTGAGGTCCCCGTGTCCCTCTGTCCACCCCTCTGCTCTGGTTGCCCCGGATATGAATTTTCAGGAGCCTGCCAGGCTCCAGAGGTATAAATAGTTTATGTCATATCCGACTATTAGACACGATTTTAATCCCACTTGTGATGTCGGCTGCATGGCTTGCAGGAGGGTGGCTTTGATGTCGCCGGTGGAACTGAGATCATATTGAACAGATGTTAGAGCTGAGAGTCTGTTAGTGTTTCCATCAGCAACCTGCGTGTGCGTGTGTGTGCGCGCGTGTGTGTTCTGGGAAGCAGTACAGCGAGGGGGGGCGGGAAAGGGAGAAACTCCATGACTCAGTGATTTTATGGCACATTCATTTGCGACTTGGCAGCTGGATGCAGCGTCCAGATGTAGTGGGACTTTGGGGTGTTCAGCTTTCTCTCCCATTACTCAATCTGGGGGCTTTGTCTTCCGTTGGGTAACATATAAAGACCAAGGGAAACAAACAACAAATGTGCTTTTGCTGAGTTTGGATGCTTCTTGGTTGACTGAGAAAATGAGCAGGTTTGCAAAGGCAGCTCTGATCCGGCCTGTGGTGTCCACAGTAAACAGTGGGACGCTTACTAAATGAACAAGTGGGTAAATGGAGGAGGATGGAGGCAGAGGGAAGGTGGTAGAGAGAACGTGTGCTTTTGCTAGGCAGGCAGAGGGGAACCCTTCAGGAGAGGGGGCAAGGGGCGGGAGACCTCTCCTCTATTCGGGCTGAGATGGGAACTCTGCGTGGGAGGGACAACAGACAGGTGTAGCGAGCTGAGCCTGTGCCGGGCACCATGCCAGAAGCATCCCCGAGCGATTTCATTGAATCCTCACAGCCATTGTATGACGGCCGTTGTCATTTGCACAGATGGGAGAACTGAGGCACAGCGGTTACAGAACCAGGCCAGCATCATTCAGTAAGTGGCAGAGCCGGGATTTCAAGCAGGAGGAATGCTGTGGCCTCTACCACATCCCTGTCTGGCCTCCGATGGGGCTGACCTAGGAACTGGGGCACCAGGGCTGCAGCCTCTCTGGGATCTCATGCCCGATGCCTCCCGCCTTGAGTGGCAGAGGCGTCCTTGGAAAGAGAGCCAGCCAGGACGCGGAGACTGGGCCAGGCTGGTGTCCTCCTCTGATGGAGACTGTCAGCCGTGTGCCCCGGTGAATGGGTCATCATAGAGAGCATTAGGGGAGTGCCTTTGAATAGCTGGTGGGGTGTGGTTAGGATGGTGGCGTTCTTGGTGACAGGAGGGCTTCTCCCAGTGTGATGGATAACGGCCTGGAGGGGAGCTTGGCTGCTGCTGGGTCTCCCCCCGCACCCCCCCCGCCGGGGCCCAGGCTGCTGGCATGGGGAGCTGCCGGCTGGCTCCTTTTGTTTGGGATTCCATAGCTGGTGTGGGCCTCCTGACCAGATTGGGGATCTGTGGGGGGTCCATCCGGCAGCCGGCAGTGGGAGGCTTGGATGTGTCATGTCCCCCACCCTTATTCCTCCCCGACTGGGCTCGTGTCTGGAGAGAGCTCTGATCGCGGTCAGTCTAAGGGCAAGAGGAAACTGGGGACATCGTGTGGTCCAAGGACAAGGGACTGGCATCCCCGGAGTAAAGTGTGTGACAAGCTTTGGCCCTCACTGCCCATGGGTAGGGGAGCCTTTTGGGATGCTGGACCACTCGATCCCCAGAGCATCTTGCTTCCTGTCCAGAGCTGGGCCGGCAGCTGGTGCTCGGAAGAAGTAGGCGGGTGTGGACAGCCAGGCAGGGAGGCCCGTCAGAGTGAGCGTCTCCCTCCCATCACCCTGGTCCCAGGTCTGGCAAGGGCCCCGCTGTTCTTGGCTCTCAGTAAATGAGGAACAGAAAAAGAAGCCTCCAGCTGGTGGGTGTGAGGGAGTGGGGGTTACTAGCCCGTGAAGATGGTAAAGAAAAGATAAAGCTTCTCCAAGGACTCAGCGGCTGGGTCTGGGTGTGTGGAGCAAGCCTGCCTCAGGGTTACAACGGTTTCTGTTGCCTTCTGGAATCTAGGTAGCAGCGGCCAGGGTTCTAGAGAGACTGGGGACGGCCGCTTGCTGGCTCCCAAGACGGGCCCTGGGAACACCAGACGCAGCCCCAGAGCCCCACAGAGCCACGTGGAGCACAGAACCCAGAAGCCTCATGTGAGTGGGGCTGGTAGGAGGGGGGGTTTAAGTGAATTTGATGTAGAATGAATAAAGTAGTAGGGAGGAAATGAATGCCAGCCGTCAGGTCCAGCCTGCTGCCACATCGGCCCCCAGCACACGGTGGCATCATGCTCCCTGGAGGGGGAAGGGCATTTAAGGCAAGAAAAGTCCACTTCCGAGTGCTGGTACTCAGACCCAAGTTAGTCCGGAGCTGGGAGTAAGGTTGTGGGACCACCTTTCTGAGCACTTTTTGTTGTTGTTCTCTGGGGCTGACAGGCACTTGAGGGAGACTGTAGGAAAGCACCAGGAGTCTGTTTAGGTGACTTTTGGAATAGGGGGCTGGTGGGGATTGAATGCCTCATGACTATTGACATTGACTATGAGAACCGACACCTGCTGAGGACCTACTGTGTGCAAGTGTAGAAGAGGGGTTATGGTGTGGGCTGCGGAAAGCTGGGCTCTCTACATCTGACGGTATGGGGCTTTGGGCAGGATGATTGACCCTGGGGTGCCTCCTTCCTACAGAGGGACCACCGGCAACCTACTCCAGTGGTTGTTGTAAAGATGAAATGGTCCCTGGAAAGTACGGGCTGACTGAAAGACTACTCTGCTTCTTCTCTCCTTGAACCCTTCCGTAAGAGGGGCCCCCGTGTACCTACCCTCTGTAGGGCATGGGCTGCTGTGGGGGAAGCCCCAAGCTCCCTGCTGCCCCCAGGCCCTCTGCCCTGGCTTTCTCGCCAAGGGAGCGTGAGGGCTCCCCGGGGTAAAGCAGAGCTAGGGGCCTGCTTTATATTTATTGATGTGGAAAGTTCTACCTGAAACAGTTTGGAAATGTGGCCTGAACAAGTCATCGGCCAAAGATTCTCATCTGATGTCGTGACTTCGTGTGACAATAAGAAGGACAAGCCCTCAGGGCGCCCACAAACGCAACCTGGGCCAGTCCGGGGAGCTGTCGGACCCATTTCCTGTCTTCAGACACCTCGCAGGCTGTGGTGCTGGCTCTGGTGAGCTGCTTGTCCAGGCCTGGCTCTTCCCCCCAACCTGTGTTCCAGGCAGGGAGTGCTGGAGGTGGGCGGTGGTGGGGGGCGGTGTGCTGCCCCAGGCCTGGCCCCCTGCGTGGACTGAGTCAGTACTCACGCTGGATGTCGATGGTGACCGAAGTCTCCTTCCCTCCCGGGATGGCTTTGTTGGTGGCTCGGCACACGATGCTCTGCCCATTCTCCACATCACCCGGGGAGATGAAGAGGGTACTCACGATGCTCTCGCGCTTGCCATCTCGCAGCAGGGTCTGAGGGAGCAGGGAGAGAAACCCCCAGGTCACTCGGCTGGGGTGGCCTGGGCAGGTAGGGGAACACATGACCCAGCCTCAGCGGAGAAGAAGAAGCCCTCGGCCCCAGACAGCCAAGGGTGCAAGTGTCTGCAGAACCCTGAGGGGTTCCTGGAGGCTCTCTGGCCTGGCCGCGCCCTGAGTTGCAGAGGGACAAAGGAACTATTCCACCATGTGGGAAAAGCCTGGACTTGTAGACTCCAAAGGAAATCCACCTGCAGGTGTCCTCTGGTGTCTGGGGGGGCCTCTGGGTCTGCAGGCAGCACGTGCAGCCGGTAGTGGGGGAGGTGCTGTCCCCCCTCCCCCCTAGGCAGTGATGTCATTTGTACGAAGGGCTGCAGCTTGGGGCATGGGGGTAAGGGCAGGGCTGGGCGGGGGATGCACGTAGAATCAAGGCACACTGACCATTTCATTCCTTTATCTATGTAAACCCTTCCAACCTTTCAAATCATTTCACTTCCTGACCTCATTAGAACCCCAACCAATCGGAGGTGGGACAGATGCCATTGCTGGCCTGGTGACAGAGGAAAAAATAGACAAGACCAGGAGGGACTGCAGAACTCTACCAAACTGACACTTCAAGTAGGGGTGAGATAAGTAAGAGGGTCCTATACTGGGCTGAAGAGTGCCCCCCAAATTCATGTCATCTTGGCGCGTCACAGCGTCATCTGGTTTGGAAATAGGGTCTTCAGGGATCAGCTAAGTAATTCGTAATTAGTTAAGGATCTCCAGACAAGATCATCCTGGATGGGGCACGGGAGGGCAAATCCAATGACTGGTGTCCTTCAAAGGAGAGGGGAGGACACAGGAAGGAACGAGGAAGAGGGTCATGGGAAGACAGGCAGAGACGGGAGTGATGTGGCCACAAGCCAAGGGACTCCAGGAGCCAGGAGAAGGGGAGGTGACAAGGGAGGACTCTCGCTGGAGGGAGCACAACCCGCCGACATCCTGATTTCAGACTCTCTGGCCTCCACGAGGCGGGACAATTCATTTCGGCTGCTCTAGGCACCGGTTGCAGGACGTGGTGAGGGTGGCTCTGGGAAACAAAGGCAAGTCTGAAAGCTTTTGGTTTCCCGTCTTCCATTTCCAGTGGGGGCCGTGAGGCCTGCTGTGCTCCTTTCCAGCTACCTCTCTGGCGGCTTGGGGACCCAGCAAGGTAGGTGCTGGGGAGCTGTGTTGGGCAACAGTCAGTACTCAGTTCAGTACTCCGAGACCTTTGATCCTGGGAAGCTTCTTAACTCCCTCCAGAGAAGGGTGGCGGACGCAGTCTCATTCCACCTGCTCGGAGCCAGAGGATAGATGAATAGCTTTTACTTCCTCAAAACCTCCCTTAAGATAGTACCGGTACTGTTCTCACCAGACCCTGAAAGGAAGGGAGCACTGGCTCTGTTCAATAGAAAAGAAAACTTAGTTCAAAGTGAGTCAGAAACTTGCTGGGCAGGGCTGGGATTTGAGGACGGTGACCCCTGAGGCCGTGACCCTCCCCTCACTGCTCCCTGTGAGCCAGACGGTGGTTAGTAAGATTTTCACTTAAAGGGGGGAACAGTGAGAGGGATTCAGCAGACTTTTAAGTTCACCGAGATACTTAGCAGTGCTTAGAAGGAGACAGCCGGCCAAAATGGAGTCACTTGCGTTAAGGGCCCCCCCATCAGCAAACCAAGACCTAATGCCTAGCTAGCCTCCTGTAGTTTCGGACCCCAGTGCCCCCTAGATGTGACATTTAACCAGCCAACCTGGAAACTCCTGGTCGGCAGGGGAGGTCATCCTCCCATTCTCCCTAAGGGGGACCCTGCCTGAAAGGAGGCATTCTTTGCCCATCATTTCCTTTTCTCCTCTCCATCTCTGCCTTTAAAAACCTTCCATTTTTGTGCACCTCCTTGGAACTCCTTTCTACTTCCTGGATGAGATGCAGCCTGATTCATGAATCATTTAATAAAGCCAATTAGATCTTCAAATTTACTTAGTCAAATTTTTGTTACTTAACAGCAGCAGTATGTTAGCTGCTGGAACCTGCTCTCGGGGTCCTCAGCTCTGTGTGGTCCTTGTCAGCAAAGCTGGTGGCCTCCAGCACTCGGAGCACATGCCCTGAGCCTCTGTCTAGAACAAGCGCATCCTGCTTTAGATAAAGCCATATTATTCTGAGATGCCAGAGAGATCCACGGAGCAAGGCAGGGGTCTGGACTATTTCTGTCGCACGTTCTAGAATCACCTGGGCCTGGGCGGGCTCCTGTGGTGGCAGCAGGGTTCCTGGAGCGGGGCCATCAGTGGGCTGAGGGTCTCCAGCTCAGCCTCAGGGCCAGGAGCTAAACTGGAGGCCAGCAGAACAGTGCTAGTAGGTGGGGATGGGGGCCACGGGGCTGGCATGTGGTTGAGCCTCAAGCCAAGCCCTATCACAGTACTGGTTCACGTGTCTATAAATAGCCAAGCACTAATAAGAACAATTTCCTGGATGGAAATAAAACCTGGGGTAGGGTGGAGGGAGGGAGGAGGTGGGGAAGGCCTGTATGGCTCTTCCCCATCCCCCTTTCTTTACTTTTACACTGTGCTAACAAGAACATTTACATTAAGTTTGACTCTGCCGGGCACCTCTCCCATTGATCTGCTCCCGGCCTGGTGGGAGGGAGGCGGGCTGCCCGGGTGCTGGCGGGAGGGGAGCAGGGAGGCCCGGGCTCCTAATTAGGCCCTCTGACTGCTTCCCTTCCTCCCCACACCCAGGGTGCTCCTGAGCCTCCGAATGATGATTAATGACATATTTACTGTGTCCGGGCATGTGCTTTTCTGGGAAATAAAAATTCTGGTTCAAGTTGTTTGTTCCACCTAATTAGAGAAAAGGGAGATGTGTTCATTAAGCAAGGGGAGAGCAAGGGGAAGGCAGGGCCTCAGCAGCTGGCTCCCCCTGGGAAGCTGAGCATCTCACCCTGGGCCCCTGCCCCCAGGGATCGGACCCCAGGCTCACCCGCAGGTGTAAAGCTGCCCCCTCCCCCACCCCTGATCTGGTGGCCTGTCTGCTCTGCGGTGGCCAGCGCTTGGCCTCCGTCTGTCTTCTCAACCTACTTTCCCTTCCTTCGGCAGTCCCTCCTTATCCTCGCTCCTTTTCTCTTTTTTCTTTTCCTTCATTCCCCTCTCACAAATCTCCCCTATCTCCCTTTCCTCAAATACAAATGAAGCCTTTGCACTTTGGGGCCTCGAAGCCACAGGCCAGGCCAGGGGGAACATTCTATCATTTGTAGGTTCCTGCCCCAGCCCACTTTCCGCTTTCCCTCTTCTCCCAGCTCCACCCGGTCCATCTTCCCTTCCCGGAACTGGGCTCCTGGGACACACTTGGAGCCCCAGCCTCCCACCTCCTGCTCCAGAAACCTTCATTAGCATGCAAATCACCTCGGGGAGGGTAAGTGGATTATTATTGGCAAGTCACTTTGTCTCTGAGGCCACCGCCTCCAAGGCCTGAGGCAGCCCTTCCTCCAGCTTGGTGGGGAGGAATGTGAGGCCAAATGCTGGCCTCACAGTCCCCCAGCCCAGTTCATGTGACCCAGATGGCAGCTCCTCGGGCTTTACCAGGGCCCAGCCCACCTGGGTCTGGAGATGCGGATCAGGGGCACATGCCCAGGAATGAGTGTGGGAGCAGCAGACTTCGTGGGTGGGCTTTCCACCCCTCCGCTTATGTGTGTGTGTCCCATCCACGAGCAGCTTCTGAACTTTCCAGACTAACCCTGTGGCTGTGTGAGGCATCTCTAAACCCTGTGTGCCCCGTGCAGCTTCTTGTGTCCCTAGTCCCCAGGCGCCATCCCCGAGGACAGGCACTTGGCATTCAACAAGAGGCCCAGAACGGCGGGCGGGGAGCGGGGGGGCGAGAGGGTGGGCAGGGCTGGGGGCACAGCGTGCATCCTGCGTGTGCTGGTCCAGTGTGGGCAACAGAGGCCGCTCGGCTCTTCCCAAGGCCCCCCCCCCCCCCCCCCCCCCCCCCCCCGGCCTCAGAGGGCAGTGGAGAGCCCTGAGGCTCCACGGAGAAGCGGGCAGCCTGGAGATGGCTGTGTGGGAAACACAGGTGAGCGGGGTGGAGCGGGGCGTGCTGTGCGGAGGTTGGAGGGAATGAGGGGGTGTGGGTGAGTGGGGGTGGGTGCCCCAACCCTGGTGCTAATTCTGGGAAGCCAATTGGTATGCAAACAGCCTGGAAAGCCCTGGAGTGAGGCCTGATTGCCTGGCAACAAGGCCTCCCTCTTCTCCCTCCTTCACTCACCTCCCCCACCTGCTGTGTCCTTTTTTTTTTTTTTTTAATTTTTTTTTTTAAATCTCTTTGCTTCCCCTTTTTATAGCTGCCTGGGAGATCCGTTAGGGGCTCTTGTCCTGTGGCTCCAATGAGGGCTGTAAGGGAAGGTGGAGAACCACAATGCCATTGGCTGCAGACCCTGTATCCCTAGGGCCCCCAGTCCTGTGCCCTGGGTGAGGACGGATGCCCTTCACAAAGAAGGTCAAGAGGGCGCGGGCTGCTGTGCTGGGTGGAGACTCTGGGCCCCTAAGAGAAGCAGATGGGGGTGCTGCTGGGGTGACCAATTGGAGGGAATACAGAGTGAGAGGGGCTCCTGGAGGGAGCTGGGCCCCAGTGAGGGCCTTAAGAGGGATTGTTCCAGAGTTCCTCTTAGCACAGGGCCCTAATGAGGCTCCATGTCCTGGTGGTGGGTGAGTGGAGGGTCCCTTGAGTAGGCAGCAGCCTGAAGCTGTAGGCCTGGAAAGCAAGGGGCTTCGACGTAGATATATACAGGACTGGCATGGGGTGGGGGGCTGGGCATTGTGGCAGGCAGGCTGTCCTAAGACTATGCAACTTTCCTACCTGCTCCCCCATCCCCCAAATCAGGGTCAGGGCCTCATCTGCCACCCATCAGCTGTTGGGGAAGTAGCAGACAGAGCAGGAAGCTGGCTCGCCAGGAAGATTTCTCTCTGGGCTCAGGCCATTCTTGCTTCCCCCCTCTTCCTTAACCTGTCCTGTCTCTCCTGGTCTGTGTAGCTGCTGGCTTGCTAGATGAATACCACGTGATCGCCATTCTGGTGTCTAGCCCAGGGAAGGCGGCATGAGGCTGGGCGTCCAGGAAGGGGGTACTTGGAGAGAGGCCTTGCCACCAGCTCCCAGGCTTCTGCAGCTAGACACCCACCAGGAGTCCCAGGCACTCCCCCAGGCACTCTGGCCACCAAGGTGTTGGTGGCGGCGTGTTCAAGGAGAGGCGCCACAGCCTGGGCTGGGGGCAGGGTTGGGGGGGCAGAGGGTGCTTCCTTTTCCTGATTCTCCTCCCAGGGCAGGGGCCTGGCCATCCTCAGTGATGCTGTCCTCCGTCCTGCTGGCTCACCCTTCCCCTGCTGGCCTCATGCTGGATGGCAGAAAGAAGGTTCCCTGAAACCAGGGCTGGTGGATGACCCCTGGGGAGGCAGATCTGGGATGGAGGGCTGAGAGGTGGGTCTAACGCAACTGGCCGGCGCTCTGACTCCCCACCAGGTGCTTTCTGTACATCATTCGTCTTAAGTCTCATAGCAGCCCTGATGGGCGTCTGTGGCTAACAGCACCCTGTTTTACAGCTGGGGAAACTGAGGCAGAGAGACTAAGTTACCATAATATGTGATGGAGCCGTACAGTCATACGGACATTCCCATCTAGGAAAGGGGAGATCAAGGTGTGCCCTGGAGCCTGAGAGGATCAAGTGAGGGCCAGGCAGAGAGCCCGCCAGCAAGGCACTCTTCTTGTTCCAGCCTTCCAGCCATCCTTTGCGGCAGGCACTGTTCTTGCTCCCACTATACAGATGGGAACACTGAGGCACCGCAAGGTTAGGTAGCTTGCTTGCGGACCATGGCAGAGCTGGAAGGGGTGGAGCCTGGTTTCGAAGTGAGGCTGCCCAGCTCCGGGGCCATGGGCTTAACCAGCACTGGGTGACAAATACTGAGGGCTTCTGACCTCGGCGCCAGCAGGGCTGCCCAAGGCAATGTGTTCTGGGGTCCCTGGGCACGGCTTGACAGTTTGCACATTTGAGTGATCTCTTAACACCCTCTCTCTGTTTCTCTCTGTTTCAGCAGCTCACACCTCGGGGGCTGCTGTGCCTTTGGGTCATCAGAAGTGCCTCTGTGACTGGTGCTTGCAGTCCTGGGAGAAGGAGGGGGAGGCAGAGGGTGCTGGCCCCTAGAGCTGGTTCCACGTGAGCACTGCTGGGTGAGTCGTAGGTTTACTGCTCGTCAGAGCTGGCAGGAACCTGCTCTGGACGGAAGTGTGTGCCCCCGAATCCACACGGTAAAGCCCAGACCCCCAGTGTGACTATATATAGATATATGACCTTTAAGGAGGTAATTAAGGTTAAATGAGGTCATAAGGGTGCTTAAGGGTCCTTGTAAGTAGAGGAGGAAACACCAGAGATCTGTCTGTCTGCACACACAGAAGAAAGGCCGCACGGGGACAGAGAGAGAAGGTGCCTCTGCCAGGAAGAGAGAGCTCACCAGCAACCCTCCTTTCTGGCACCTTGATCTTGGCCTTCCAGCTTCTGGAGCTGGGAGAGATAGATGTCTGTTGTTTAAGCCACGGGTCTGTAGTACTTTGTTATGGAAGCCCAAGCCCTATTCCTACAGAGTGTCTGATCCAACCCCTTTATTTTACCGGAGAGGAAACTGAGGCTCAAGGAATGACTCTCCTGAAATTCACAGACCAGGGTCTGGAACCCCGGCCCCTGGCTACCCGGTGCTGTCCTGCTGGTCATCGGTCTGCAGGAGTGTGAACTGGGCTGGGACGGGGTGCACAGGGCGAGCATGGCCTCTTGCTCTGGCCTGCTGTAGCACCCTGCCATGCTCTTCCAGGGCCCTTCACCACATGGGTGATGCAATGCACTGGGGCAAGGTGACCCCGGACGGGCGCAGCAGGGTGACTCCGACCTTTCTCTTCCCCACATAGGGTGTGTCCTCCGCAGGACAGAAACTTTGGCTGGGGCCGCAGGCTGACCCAGCTTCAGGAAGGGACTGGACAGATGCCCAGATGGGAAGGAATACCCCTTGCCTTCCTTTTCATCCTTGTCTGGATGATTTATTCCCTCGGCCATAACAAGGGCGGCTCCAGCCCAGGACAGGAGTGAGAGATTTACTTCTCAACCGGCAGCTTCCCCCTGGGTGGACTTGTGTGGGAGGGAAGGCATTTGTCCTGGGTTCTGGCACCAGGATCTGGGTGGGGGCCCAGAGCGGGGTGGGGCTTTGTCAGCAGCCCTGGGGCTGACTCCTTGGCGGGGAGTCAGGTTTGGACAAGAAGACACACCCTCGGAGAAGTGTCATTTTGGCCTCAGAGCCCCGACTGGTGATGAAAGCCTTTATTTTTTCAAGACCCAGGAAAAGGAGCTTGGTGGTGGGGTGGGAGTGGGGAACGGGTCATGCATCTCCCCACTTTCTGAAGCCAAGGAGAGCCACAGGAAGAGGCGAGCTGGGGTTCTGGAGGCCCAGACTTCCAGTTTCAGAGCCTGGGCGTGCTGGTTGGCCCTGGGGGCGGACACAACCTCGCCGCAGCTGTCCCTCTGTCTAAGGCTGTACTGAGAGAACACAGGAAGGAACGCAGCCCTGGGTGCCACGAGACTGTGGTTCGGGCCACTCACCAACTGAGAAGGGCAGTCACTTCTCTTTCAGGCCTTGCTTTTCTGTCTGTAGATCAAGAGAGCTGGACCAGCCATCCTCCACCGTCCTGTTCATCTTTAAAGGCTCTATGATATATAAACGCGGTCTGGGATTCTGTTTACAATTTCCTTGAGTGGAGTTTGGTTGGGGGAGGCTTTAACCTGTACCTGGGATTTTATTTTTATTCAGGTAGGAGAAGCCAGCAGATCAGGGGATGAGTGCCAGATTGAAGGTCATTTGTTACAGCCCCCAAGAGGAGGGGGAGCCCTGCTCCACGTAGGGTCACGGGGATGCCTCAGGGTTGGTCCGGAGGCAGGGGGAGCAAGGGGAAAATGTGGTGCCCGCCTTTGTTGTGGTTCTCGTGGGAAGGAATGGACAAAGGTTTTGGGATTGGGTGGTTTGAATCATTTCCAGAAGCTCTGGGCTGTAGGACTGATCTCCAGTTATCCAGGCCCTAGGGATTCAGAGTTGGAGGAGGCCAGCACCTCGGACTCCCAGCTGGTTAAAAGGAGGTGGTGAAGATCTGGATGCTGGGCTATTTGCATATCAAAGGTGTGTGCCCTGCGCTTCGTTTCCCGTCTCTAAGAAATTAGCTATGCCTGGGAGTGGCAGTCCCTCCTCATCTGGAAGGCTTTGGGATGTCAAAGCATCATAAAATATAGAAAATAAAGACCCAAGTATACAGGGGCCAGTTCAGGGCATTTCCGGCTCATGGTACCTTGTGTGAATTACAGAAAGACACCCCTGCAGGTAGGTACAGCAGGTGCAAGGCATCGTAAGGGATTATGGTCTGGATTTCCTCAGTTGGGCATCTTGGACAGGCAAGAACCTAAACAGCCTTACCTCGTAGCCCTGGAAAGTTGGCCAGATTTAGCAAATAAAAATACAGCACACTCAGTTAAATATGAATTTCAGATATACAGTGAATAACTTTTTTAGTCCAAGTATGGCATATAATTATGCCCCAAGCAATATTTTGGGATATACTTATACTGAAATTCAAATTTAACTGGGTGTCCTGTATTTTATCTAGCAACCCTAGGCCCTGGCCACTTCTGTCCCTGAGCCTCCTCCTCCGACCTTATTCTATTCTTAGGGTCTTGACCGAGCCCAGCAATTACCCCAGGAAAGAAGAGAGGAAGACAGAGTTACACAGTCAGGAGACAGAAAAGGTCAGATAAATAGAAACAGAGGATGAGAGGGAAAAACTGACATAGAGCGAGAGAGAAAAAGACAACGAGAGGTAAGGAAGAATGGGAGACAAAGAGCACACACACAGTGCAAGAGGGGCAGAGTTGGGGAAAGGGGCTCTCCCGGCGCGGCCCCGCCCCTCCCCGCGCGGCCCCGCCCCTCCCCTCCCCCGCGGCCCCACCCCTCCCCGCGGCCCCGCCCCTCCCGTTGCCCCCTGGCCTCACCTTGGAGTAGGTGGCCCCATTGATGACCTCTCCTTTCCGCAACCAGATGATGGAGGCTGCAGGCTTGGCGTTGTCTGCGTGGCAGGTGAGGTTGAGGGGGTCCCCCGCCCGCAGGCTGATCACAGGCCCCCCCAGGATGACCGGGTCATCAGGTGGCACTGCAGGGGTGGAGGGGGGAGAGAGGAGTAGAGAGGTCAGACTGAGGTCCCTGCTCGCCTCCGGCAGGGCTGGCAGGCTGGGCTGGGTGGATTTTATGGAGCCGATGACAAACAATAATTATCATACTTTAATAAAATGTATAATTCCCTTGTATTATAACAATAATAGCAACAGCAGCAATAATCCCTGACATATGCACGGCATGTTTATTTGCAGCTGATGTTCATGCCATCATCTCATCCGCCACTCGCGATGAGCCGTGAGGGGACAGGGCAGGCATCATTAGCTCCGTTTCACAGATCAGATTGGGAGGCAAAGCTCCGCTGCCCAGATAATATCTGCACTTTCTTTCTTTTTAACTTCTCTCTCTTTTTTTAAAACAAAGCGCTGTCACATCTGTCGTCTGATTTAATCCTTACAACAGTCTTGCAAGGTAAACATTATTATTATCCCAATGACATAGATCTGGAAATGGAGGCTCCGTGGGATTAAGTGACTAGCTCAAGGTTGCTGGGGAACGGGGCCCCAGGCCAGGGCCTCTGACACCTGCAGCTCCCCTCCACTCCTCGCCCTTGCAGGTGTCAGGGGACAGGGGGCAGGCAACCTTGCAAGACTGAGATGGTGTTTCAGAGGGCTGTGCAACCCTCGCACCTCCTTAGTGCTTGATTCTTCCAGAATGGCTTCAACTGTCTCATCCCAGAGTCAGGGTGAATCTCTGCTCCCCACTTCTCCCGCATTTCACAGTGGGGTGATCGGAGACTCGTGGCTCCCGAGAGATGGGGGTGCTGCCACGGGAAAGATGTCCATGGCAGTGGCTGAATCTCCCACCTGGCCCACCACAGGGCCCAGTTGCTGGCTGACACTCCATAATGTTTGCCAAGACCACTGGAGTCACCCCTTTGATCCCCTGGACAACCCTGGGATGTGGGATGGGCACTTATGATGACAGGTGACCATCACTTGGAGGAGAGGCCCAGAGAAGTTTAATGACTGGACTAAGGTCACAGAGCCTCTTCTCATGTTCGTGCTTAGGGACACATGGAGGGTCTCAGGTTTCTGTGGTTCCCTGCCTCTCCTCCCTGGACCAACAGACAAACCACAGAAGGGGAAGGGCTCCCTGGAGACCCCCTGGGAGGTCCCTAGGCTTCTCCTCTACCTCCCTCACCCCACCCCTAGGGAAGGGCTGGGCCAGTCAGTTCTGGAGGGCTGAGGAGGGCTGAGCTGCATGTTTGCTGAGCGAATGGACCGAGGGGAAATCGGGTGCTGACGGATGGGGGTCTTAGCAGAAAAGGCCTTCTTTGCCCAGTTGCCGGAGAAAGTCCTTGCCTCCATCCAGGCCTTGTGCAAGCTTCTGCCCTGTGGGATCCGGGAAGATGGACTCAGCAGGGTCAAACAGCTTTGCCGGCCCGGTCCTGACCCAGGGCCCCGCACCCACAACCTGCCTGGCCTCCCTCCCCTTCCCAGGGCCTGCCCGCATCTGCCACTCTCCTAGGGCACCCAGGAGACTCCAGGAGGCTCTTGGGCCAGGTAAACAGCAAAGCAGTCCCTTCAGCTTGTGGCTGTGCCCCCTTCCTTCCTGGCCCAGAGGAGGCCCAGTTCAGAACTATAGCCCAGTGAGTGCCAACTTCCATGTTTCTGTTTTCTGAGGAAAAAGAAACCCTTGGGATTTCCAAGATGCTATCAGCCCCAGAACTCCACTGGAGATCCTGGCCCAGAGAGGCCGTTGGCCTCATCCAACCCTGCCCAGCCTCCCCAGGGGGCTCTGGGCTCAGGCAGATGCTGGTTGTGGGCTGGACAATGAGGATCACACCCCCTACCCCGCCCACCCCAAACTCCTTCATTAGTGCCGGAGGCCTCTTTGGTGCTGGTGTGGCCAGAGAGCAAAAGGGAGGCTAATGAGGGCTTTCCACAATGGGGGGGTGGGTGTGACAGTTGTTGATGAGGGGAATTTTAGCTCTGTGCAATGCTGGGCCCCTTCCAGCAGGGAGGGCCGGGGCTGGGGCTCCTGCCCCCCTTTTTTCTGTGGGGGCAGCTTTCTCTCCAGTAGGTGTCCGGGATGGAGGCTCTCCGGGCTGAGCTGGAGAGCAAGAGACATTGGAAAGAACCATTTCAAGTGCCAGGAACAGAAGAAACACTGGACCACCCCGTGTCTCTGGGACTCTCCAGGGAAGAGCCAGAAGGTGTGGTCCTGTGGAAAGTACCCTAAATCAGGAGGGGTGAACTGGGGCACGGGGTCCCTCCTTCTGGTTTTGTTTCACCATATACAAAATATGAAAGGACAACAGGAGATCTGGACAGTTCCTTCTGGCGCCGACATGTCTTGGGTCTGAGACAGTGGTTTCCAACCTTGGCTGCATATTACAATACTCTGGGGGAGATTTAAAAAAAATCCCATTGGCAGGCCGCACCCCACGAACTAAATTCCAATCTCTGGCGGTGGAACCCCAAGCTTCGGGAGGGTTCCAGTGTGAGAGCAGGTTGGAGAACCAGCTGTCCCCAGGCCTTTGCTCAGGTGACTATCCCACTCTGATCGCAGCATAGAGCCCGAGGAGGTCTTTCTGAAAACCAGATACAGTGAGGGGCCGAGCTTCCTTCTTGCCGTTCGAGTCCTATGTTTTGGAATATTGGATTAGAGGGAGCGCAGGGGAGGGGAGAGGGGAGTGGGACGCCTGCTTCATGAGTACCCGGGCGCGCACACACGCTCACACACACGAACATCCCTCCTCAGAATGGGTCCTGATTATATCTTCCTAAATAAGTGGTTATCATGCGGTTATTCATGTAGCTATGCATTATTGATTGGCCTTCGCCTCGCTGCACACCAGATGGGGTAGGAGGGGGTGCGGATGGGGCCGGGGTGTTTGGGGTGGGAGTGGGTGAGTAGGGAGGAGTTTGGGGGCCAGGAGGCTGAATAGAAATCAACAGTCGCTCTTGGCAGCTGTAGCGCGGACGGAACGGGCTACTCATTACCTCTCCATTCAGACTGGCCCGGAGCTGGGGCTGCTGGGTGTGGGGCAGGGGAGTGGAGGGGGGGGAGGCCGAGCCGCGGGGCCCGGAGATGCATTATTCATACGTCGCCCTCACAGGATTGGTTATTATCCTGAACCACTATAGAGTTTGGTCTCCTAATTTTTAATCACAGGGAAGGTGGAAGCGTTAGCCTTTTGTGATTAATCCGGAGATAAAAATAGTTGACTGTTTTGGTGTTTGCTCATTGTCAGTCAAGAAGAAATGCATTAACTGTTGGGTGACTGAGGCCCGAGGAAGCCCGGAAGGCACCCCGGGCAGAGCTGGGCCCCAGAGCTGGACAGAGAGCCCGGGGAGGCCACAGCTCGGGCTCAGACAGGGGCCGGCTCCATGGGCACCGCTGGCCAAAGGGACGCATCGCTCAAATGACTGTCCCATGATCAAAGGGGCGCTTGGTCCTGGCTATGCCAGGTGCCCATCTCTCCTTGCGTGGGAAGGGGCCCTTGAGGACTTTTCTCTGAGCTCTGCTGCCCGGGGCGAGGGGACTTGAGCGGTGAGGTGAGGTAGGGAGACCAAGTCAGGTGGCACATTGACGGAGGAGGAAACTGAGGCCAGAGAGCACAGCGTCATCCAAAGTTACCTTCGAGGGAGGGCAGAGAAGGATGGGGATGGGCTCGGGAAGCGCGTCCTGGTTCCACCGGAAAGGTAAAGCTTCCATCTGTTTTCTGTACTAAGGTTCCTTACGCCCTCTTAGGAAATAAAGGATTCTGCAGGGAGAAGCGGAGGAAGGCCCACTCAGCCCCACAGCTGTCTCTAAGAAGGGGTCCCGTGATCAGAAGGCCTCGAGCTCCTGGACCAGAGCGTATGCTGGGGTGACCATCTGACTGTCCTTCCCACAGGACGCCGGCTGGGCAGAGGGCAGAGTGGAGCTGGGAGTTCGAGGATTTCTGCCCTGTTCTGGAATTGCTCCCTGGAAGCCTACCCAGTGACCGTACGGTGTCAAGGTCATTTGACTCATGGTCTTGTTTTACTTGGTTGGCCAACCTTGCCAGAACAGGCTGGGAAAATTCGCTTGGTGCCAGGCCAAGGGCAGCACTGAGGGGGCTCCCCCCAAAATCCAGTGGGTCACCTAGGTGGGCCCCTGGCCAGCTTCCTCAGGGGCTTTGTTGGCCCAGAGGGTTGGTTTCCACAGACGGCTGATGGGGCACATCAGCCCACAAAGGCCAGCAGCAGGGACATGGACGGTCTTGCTGGAGAAGAGCGGGAGGTCAGCCAGGCCACCTTCCTGCCCCCACAGCACAGCAGAGCACCTCGCTGACCCTGAGTTCTTTGGAGGGAACTCCTGGGTCTCCCTCTCACACACAGAACGTTCTCCAGAAGTGGTGTATTAGAAACCCCAATGCAGCTGTGGCCTGGCTCTGTGTCGACCCTGCCAGCGGCTCACACTCTATCTAGAACATAGTTCGGACTCCTCCCTGTTGCCTGCACCTTCAGCCCTGGGCCGTCCCTGAAACTGACTTCCTTCTACCCCCCTCACCCACCATGCTCTGCCCACCACCCTTCTGTTTGCCAAACAGGCCAAGCTCACCCCCCGGCCCAGGCCTGGCCCTGGCTCTCCTCCGCCTGGAATCTCTATTTATATCCTCGTCCTGCCGGCTGCTTCCCGTCAAGGAGCGTGTCTCTGAAATGTCACATCCTCAGCGAGGCCCAGCCACCCTGTGGAAGAGCCCCCATCCATTCTTCTCTGCGAGCCCCCCCCCCCCCCCGCAGCCGCCGCCTTTATTTTCTTTATGCCCAGGTTCATCTATTGTTTGTCTCCCCTAATGACAAAGGAGGCTTCTTGACAGCAGAGAAAGACCTTGTCTGTCTTGGTTGTTGCCGTATTTGCGTGTCTGGATCAGTGCCTGGCATGTAGTAGCTCATGCATTTGTTGAGTAAATAAACCGAAGATGGCTGGTGAGAGGTCTGTCATGGGCATTGGTTTCTGGGGTCAGCACTTTTTACTGCGTGTGTGTGTGTGTGTGTGTGTGTG